TGGAATATTACTCAGCAATCAAAAAGCTAAACGCTTGCTGTTTGTGGTACATGAATGGAGTTGAAGGAGATGATGCCAGGTGAAATAAGTCAGAAGGGGGAAGACAAATACCAGCGGTGTCAGTTACATATGGAATATAGAGAAACCCAATAGAAGATCAGATAAAGCCAGACTAAGAAGAAACCCTAGAAAGCTGACTGTAGAAGCTACCTGAGGGAAATTGAAAGAGAGCAAAATGGGCTGTGGTGGAGGACTACAGGTGTCTTGGTACTGGGTACAGTGTGGTAACAACGCCTGAGGAGGAGATCCTATACTTCTAACATGTGAACAACAATGTAAACCTCATTGTTGTCTTAAAAATAAGTTAAAAAATGTATTTAAAAAATGAACTCAGAAAAAAAAAATAAAGTTTGGCACGTAATCTTTTCCAGTGGGTACCTGGTTGATGGACATCCTGCCATACCAGTAGTTAAAATATCCCTTTACGGACCTCCTTGATGGTGCAGTGGGTTAAAGCTAAAGCCACTTCCGCATGAGTTCGATTCCCGCCTGCCCCGGAGGTCACCACATGGCGCAGCAGACCTCTCCTGACCCACCCGCTGCTCCCCTCAGCAGTGTACTTCGTCAATCTGCCTGTTCTGCTCCCCACTCTGTCTCTGGTGAATCCTCTCACCCTCCACATCTCTGGCCTGTATCCCAGTTCTGTATGAATAAATAAATAAATCTTTAAAAAAAATATATCCCTTTACTTCCATTTTTTTGTCCTAAAGATTGTATTTATTTATGCATTCAGAACTGGGGTGCAGCCCAGAGGTGCAGGGTCGTGAGAGAATTCACCAGAGACAGAGTGGGGAGCAGAACAGGCAGGTCTATGAGGTACACTGCTGAGGGAGCAGCGGGGAGAAAGGAGAGGTCTGCTGTGCCCTGTGGCGCACCTCTAGGGCCGGGGATCCAACTCGCATTGGAACGGCCCTGGCCAGCATCACAGTGTGCGCTCCAACCCGCTGTGCCACCATGCCCCCCCTTTATTTCTTATTGAGGTGTAATGTGCATAAGTGGTAGGTCGGCAGCCCCTTGGGTTGTGCAAAAACTACACACAACGAACACCAGCACTCAGGTCAGGGTCAGGACATGGCCGGCCCTCCGTGGGGGCACCCCTCTGACTCTTCCTACCACAAATCAGTCTCCTCCACTTGCTTGCAACCAAGGGAATCACGTAGCATGTTCTCTTTCATGCCCGCCTTCTTCCCGTAATATGATGTCTATGAGATAACTTGGGCTGTGCACAGCCGTAACTTACTCGTTTTACTCTGTGCGGTCACTCAAACCTTTGCATAGGTGGGTTACGGAGAGGGGGCACTCATCTGTCTTCAAAATCAGACAGATGGAATTTTGAAACAGAAGGAAACACAAGCATACACTCCATCACCATGACGATGTCATCCCAGGTTGGGGAGCCTCTGGGGACCCCCGCGGAACGCTCGGGAGAGAACGACCGTGCAAAGGGCACACAAAGTGTCTGACCTTAAGAAACCCCTGCACAGGTCTCGGGACCCCGAGGGACTCACATCACACTTCGGGAACTGCTGTTTCGTGTTACCCAGTAGGTCACTGTGACCTCCTGCTCCCCTTCTGCCTCGCGAATGTCTTTCCCAGCCCCTTCCGGTCATCTCTCTGGGGACCTGACTGTCCTCAGGCTGCACGAGGGGAGACCCAGCCCTCCCTTCCGTTCTGGATTTAAGTTTTCCCAACCGGAAAGATGAAGAGGTTTGGCGGGGCTGGGGGGCCTCTGAGGTCCCTCCTTAACTGGAGCCCCTCATAACTCTCCAATCCTCTTCCTGAGTCTGTAGTTCTAAGATTCTACGACTTTCAAGGGATTATCGTACTCAGCCTGTAGTGTTTTCGGCCAAGATCAGTTTCCCCTCCCGAATGCTCTGTAATTCCAACAGGCAGCGAAGATAGCGCATCTCAGAGTGAATCTGCCCGGGTTCGAGGACAGTTCTCCACCTTGCAAGCTCTGCGGCCGTGAACAAGTTAGTCAACCGCTGTGTGCACGGGTCTCTCGGCAGTGGAATGGCGAGGATCGCACCGGGCCACTATACCCACTTAGCGTGCCACCTGCCACCTCAGCAGCACGTCACAGCCATGCCGGCATCTTCACCCTCCTCCTCCTCTTTATCGCTATGACTACCATGATTACACGTTCAGGTCTTGTGGCTCTGAGTTTTGCTGTTTCTGAGATTTCCTGTGTCAAAGACCCTGTTCTCTAAGTGTCTGTGTGGATCCACAATTGTTCTTAGGCTCTGGGGTTCCGGCGGTAGCCCAAGGCCGTCAGAAAAATCTGGTCCCGCACCGCACCGACAGAAGCCCAGCAGGCCCGAGTCGCTGACTCTGACTCCAGACCAGGGCCGGGAGGCAGGAGGTTCACTCACAGGTGGCTTCAGTGGTCCGGCGACTGTAAGACTTGCGAACGCGGTATCTGACCACCAGCTCGCCTCTCTCCACCGTTGGCTCGAACACTTCCCTGGGGGGGATGGAGAGGAGCTGAGGACAGGGCACCCCGCATGGGAGCCTCCCCCCAGGGCAGTGATGGTGCGCCCCAGCCTGGGGTTTGAGCATGCCTTGGCCGCTAT